ATCTTAGAGATTGGGGATGGGATGGATTGGATTGATCTGGCTCAGGATAGGGACCAGTGGAGGGCTCTTGTGAACACGGTAATGAACCTTCACGTTCCATAAAATGCTGGGAAATTCTTGAGTAGCTGCAGAATTGGCGGTTCCTCAAGAAGGACTCAGCTCCATAAGTAAGTATGTTTGTGTATTTCCATTCAAATCTTAACCAAATTACCGAAAAAGAAACTGAATCGGCAAATGTTCGTCTTTCGAAGACTCTGGATTCAAAACATGGACAATTGGATCGACGCTATTATGACGAAATCATGCATTTTCAAAGATTGGTGCTCTCCACTGAACATTGTTATGGATATAAAAATATTTTCTTTTTGTCTTCTACGCCGGTAACTTCTCTCGCGTAAGATTCGCCGTTGTTTCCAGATTACTTATTTTGAGAATTGAGATCTGGCGAATTTCGGACCTACTGCTGTATTTCACTCAGTATTCGTTTTGCATTGCGACGAACCGTTTATAGCTTGCTATATCTAATTCATATCCACATATTATGTTTTTAATATTAATATACTATTTTTGTAATGTTCACTAGTGTTATCACTCGCCAAGAATTCAACATGAAGACTCGGCGTTTTTATATGCACACGCTTTCGTAATATTAACTTCTGTTGCTTTCTATCGTGTTTATTTCCCGCCCCACATGTTATTGAATGATACGTCGAGACCGACGTTTAACGTCATCTCCCACTAAAAACACGCAGAAAGAGACAATCGCAAACATTCCCATTGCATAGTACACCAGACTACACTTATCCGCATTAAATTTTTGTGGCAAGAAGACCCGCTACTAAGCAACGACCACGAAATAAGTAACTATACAACAGCTTTTCTAAATAACGGCTTCGCAAACAGACACGGACACAACAATTGCATTGCAACAAAGGAACGGTATTTTCTTCGCGGTCCGTACCAAGATGTTATAAGCAGGGGCAGTTAGTGAATCATATACATAAGAGACAAACTCATCCTCTCGTCAGAGAATATATTACATAAGGACTATGACTAAGAGTTCAATTGAAAAATAAAACTCTGTTGTCGTGAGTCTCAAGGGGCTTGTCGCCAAGACGAATTGATTGGCGGTAAACCGCCAGTCGTAAATAACTCTGAATTTGAGCAGTCAGTCAGTGAGTTAGTTAGATAACCTCTGGGGTTCTGTCATTGTGAGCTGTTGCTGTCAGAAGCTGGTAGCTGACGCCGGGGACCGTTCGGGAACCCATAAGGAGGGGAACGACTGCTGTTGAAAGCCGTTACCAAGCAATGACAGTGAAGAAGTGACTGTGAACACTAATGTGTGTAATAGTGAAATGTAAAGTGTAGTCACCGCTGTATCAAATAATGCAATAAATCCGATTACCAATCCAAACCCCGTCTATAGTCACTCAAATCGTGACAATATTGTATTGTCAGTACTCGCAGAATACTTGTGATAACTGGAACGAAAGAGCGCTCGCACATTCGCGACCTACATAACTTACGTTCTTGCGGCATGTTAACGCTCGACATGTCATTGCTATGGTAACCCAAAATTACGTAGTTTCAGAGCTTTCATCTCACCATTACATTACTTTTAACTGTATAATACTTGTACCTGTCGTAACTGACGGCTTTCTGGCAGACTGTGAAAGGTATCTGTTAAATATCACAGAATTTTATTTATTTGTTCATATATTTCATATCATTTGACGTATTCGTTTATATAACTCAACAGAATGTGTTAACTTCATCTTTTCCTAAAAAAAATGAATCATCGTAAAACAACATTGGTACAAGTCATAAAACATGAATCTTACTGAGCTCTAGAACTTTTATTTGGAACATTTTTTGATTGGTAAATAAATTATTTCTGACCCTTGGGTGCGATATTTATAACGCCATATGCCAGGCAGTGGATTTTATCTGAAGTAGACGAAAATAAAGGCAAAAACTAATGCAAATTAAAAAGATACATTTTTAAAACGAGTACACTCCCTCTGGACCACACCTTTACATTCGTCTTTTTGCAAAGGAATTCGGCACAAGGTTTTCTGTTGTGGCTCTTAGGCCGCACACTTCGGTAACGTTTCTGGCCTGTATTCAGAAGGTGCCCGTTTCGTATCACAGCCGGGACACAGATTATCCAGACGGAGGTTCTTCCTGATTTCCGTCTGTCCCTTCTTCAGGCAAATACCGGGATAATACACAAAATTAGACCATGACCGTTTCTTTCAACACCCTTTTCCAGTTCATTATTCTCCATCAACCAGTCGTTCGATTCTACATAATCTCAGCTACTGAGAGCATCGCTAAATAAACTACAAAATCAAAAACAAAGTTTCCCCCCCCCCTTGGCACTACAGCCCCAGTGGGCCTAGACCTACCTCCATGAACTTCTCCGTTCACTTCGGTTTTTCTAGATCTTACACATTCGGTAGGACTCCTTGGGAGGGTGATCAGCTCGTCGCAAGGCCTCTACCTGTACACAAACACAGAAAAAACGCACACACACAAGACAAAGTATTTTACTTATACATTTTTTCGGTTGTTAAGATCCGTAAATTACCCAACGGTGCTCTTCGAGACATGAACCCGGTATTTTTGCCAGGAAAGACTAAGAAAAATCAGAAAGAACGTTATGCATAGTCGGTTCCCTACCTAAGGTCTGGGACACAAGTCGCCAGAAACAAAACAGGTTTACGAAGTCACGAGTGGAAATAAGTCAAATTAAGAAACCAGGAGAAGCTTCTGATTTCCTCCATAAGGCATGGGAATGTCATAACAAAAAAATTGACAGGAAATGCACGTCCTAACCTTGAAGCTGAAGCTACCAATTGCAACGAATGTCTGCGTTGCTTTAAACCATGACGTAATTCACACTGAGACTACTGAGTCAGTTCAACTGTGCTGATTGTTTGCACATGATGCAGAAAGTAAAAAAAAAAAAAAATACAAACATGGGGTTTCGAGCAGGGCTTAAAAATAGTTCTCTATTGCCTAGATTTATAGTCCTACAGATCTATTATTATTATTATTATCATTACTACTACTACTACTACTACTACTACTACTACTACTACTACAACACTTTCGCTAAGGCCTCTCGTCAGAGAGAAAGAGAGCCTCACATCAACAAACCCACAACTGTCTGACAGTAACAAAAAATCGGGTGCTTTGTTCCAAGACAGACTGGCCGGCTAATCGTCGGTCGTATTATAAGACTCAAGACTTAAAGCTTAATCATTTAATAGTTCGGCATGGGAGTCTGGAAAGAGAGGACTTAAGCCGGAGACAGACGAATAGCTATTGTTGGAGCCTTTACCGGGAAACGTTTAGTGACAGACTGAGAACACTAGACCAGTGTTCTCAACAGCCCCACAGAAGTTGAGAACCACTGCACTAGTCTGTGTGCTCTAGTGAACTGTAAAGTGTGGAAATAGCCGTAGTGTTATAGTTACGACCTGTAAGTGGTAAGTAAATCTGTTCACCAATCCAAACCCCGTCGAGAATCACACATATGAGACAATATGTGTAAGTTACTCCTGCCGTCATTGTCCTTAAACTGGATGCGCTTCAGTTGTTAATGCAGTTCGTAAATTCTTTGATATTATTTCAGACCTATGCTTAAATTTAAATGACACTAACTGATATTATTTGTTTTGCGCTGCGCTGTCCTTGTATTTATTTATTCGTTGCATTTGTGTTCGTGCTCGCTCTGTAATTGACCTCTGGGTCCTTGAGTTCAGCAAGCAAATAAATAAAGAACGAACTTAAATTACTAATAGTGTTAATATTAGTATTAAGATTAGTATTATCATTTAATTTTATTTCTCTGAATAAGTTATTACTTGCGTAGAGATTCTGAATGCATTAAATTTGCCGAATATGAACTCTTAGTTCCACACGATCGTGAGATTTGCAGTTCGCTTAGTGGGGGGTGGAGTCGAATTGGGTCCACTCGGCACGGCGGCCACTGATTGTCCTATTGTAGCCTGCACCGGGTGATTATGATGATGAATTTGGAGGAATGAAGATTGGTAGGGGAAATCGAAGTTCTCGGAGAAAACCCGCTCCAGCGCCACTTTGTCCACTACAAATCCCACTTCACCAGACCCGGGATCGAACCCGGGCCGCCGCGGTGGGAAGACAGTGACTAACCGCTTGAGCTATGGCGCGAATACAAAGAAATGGTCGCATTAGTCCAGTTTGCACTATTCGAAGCTATAATTATATGTAAAATATGGTAATTGGTTCCAAAAGGTGGGCGAAAATTGCTGCAAAACCAGTCATTGAATACCACTTGGGTCACCCTTGTTTTCTTATTTGACCGCCAAATGACTGGAAGGGATCTGTGATAAGCTTTCAGAGCACGAGGACTTGGACACCGATAAACAAGCATCGGTTTCAATTTAAAATTGCATTGAGCATTTTCCCCCAGTAAAAGTGTTAGGCAAGTTCAAGACACTTTAAATCCAGGTTGAGATTTTCCTTTCTTAGAAATATATGTTCTGGAAGGCATCCTTTTCCAGAATTTAAATATCTGTTGATCAGTGTATCCACCATCTAATTTGGTTTTCTTTTAAAACGTCAGGATATTTAGATGTTGTGTCCTCATTTGCACTGGCCTCCCTCACCATTAATTTTGTCCTCATTTGCACTGGCCCCCTCGCCGTTAATTTTGTCATTTGCACTGGCCCCCCTCACCGTTAATTTTAACATTATGTAGCTGAACTCGTTTTTAAATGGATCAAACCAACCAACACTTGCAATAAACGTTTCTCCTACTTCACTGATTTTTTTCCTTCACTCTATTAAACAAATTTAAAGCTTTTGTATGAATGGCTGCTCTGCTAAGGCATTGCGTTTTTGATGGCAATCCTCAATCCTTACAGTTAAATGACCCTCAAATTATATCACTGCAACACTTCTATTCCTTGTAGATGTTTGCAAACCACAAAAAGCTGAGGTAACTTTACCTTTTACTTTTATTTCCCTTGAGTGTTTTATAATATTCCGTCCCGTAGATTCAGGCATTCCGACATCTCGTCATATTTTAGAGTTGCTATGACCACGTTCATGTCGTTCAGTCACATAAAGTTTTTGTTCTAATGTAATAAGGAGCTTCTTATTCCTTGCGATAGTAGTGCTTTTATCTGAAGGAATCTTCCTTTTGTCCATTTTGTTAAGGGCACTTCGTAAAACGATTAAAACAAATCACGAAAATTAACACATATTATGGCAGGAAGCAGCAGCACATGCACACTTGAAGATAAACGAGTGCAGACTAAAACCGTAACTGTAACCTCAACTGCGCATGCGCTAGCTTCGTATTAATTTAATTTTAGTTCTCATTAAACCCGACCTGATATCGTTCTACAATTCGCTCTAAATCGAATATCGCATTATTGGAAGTCGCATTAATCGCGACCTATCTGTATTAAAAATTATAATTTTGCCTGTAGTTTTGTATGGCTGCGAAACTTGGTCTCTAACATTAAGGGAAGACCATAGACTGAAAGTATCTGAGAACAGGGTGGCGAGGAGACTCTTATCGCCGAAGAGGAATGAAATAGTAGGAGGGTTTGAACTTGTACCCTTCGCCAAATGTAAATAGAATGATGAAGTCAAGTAGGACGAGATGGGCAGGGAATGTGGCACGTATGGGACGAAGATAAATGCATAAAAGACTTCGGTGGGAAAGCTAAAAGGAAAAGGACCATTAGGAAGACCTAGACGTAGGTGGGAGGATAATATTAAAATTGATCCTAGAGAGACAGGATGGGGTGGTATGGACTGAAATCATATTGCTCAGGACAGGGACCATTAGATGGCTCTCGTGAACACGGCAATGAACCTTGGGGTTCCATAAAATGTTGGGAAATCTTGAGTAGCTGAGTGACTGACGGGTTCTCAAAAAGGATTCAGTTCAACGGAATTAGTTAGTTATTCAGTTAGTTCGCTAGTTAGTGTTGCTCCCACTTCACAAGTTTTCGCGTCCACCATATTGTTATTACTGATTGTAGGAAATTACATAGTGTATAAAGCACGATGTTGTAGTGACCCCCAGTGACATAACATTTATACCGGTTTTCGTAAAAATCGGCCAACTGGTTCCAATATTTAGCGAAGACATCATGGTGACCTCATGAGCATACTTTTTCCTTAAGGAAGGAAATAATTCTGAACCCGAAAATAGATTCTAATCTTTTGGAACATATACGTAAATACGAGATAAGCTGTGGGCTAAGGAAACCCGTGAGGTTGCCGCAGATGTGTGAGCTCCTTGACAATGAAGGCAGTGGTTTGATCAGATCACGAAAGATGAGATGGGCAGGGCATGTATAGCGCACGGGAAAGACAAGAAATACGTACGAAATTTTATGCAGGAAACCGGTTGGAAGACATACGTATAGCTGGGGGATAATATCAAATTGCATCTTCTGGATTGTAATGGCGTGGCCGCAGGCTAGAAGCCAGTGGCATGCTTTTATGAACACTGTTATGAACCTTCGAGTTTTCTAAAAAGCGCGGCATTTCTCTGCAAGCTGTGTGACTACTAGTTTCTCGAAAAAGATTTGGTTTCATGAACTTAGTTGGGCATACAAGTATTATAAGGGTTATACTCTCATGAGTCGGTCCCCAGAACCTCGATTGTAACAAAAGAGCATCGATTTAATATAAAATTGGCACAGTGCAGAGAAATGTTTAGCGACAGCGAAACTAGTTGCATACTTGCAATATGCCCCCTCTAGCAGCTAGAGGCTATGAATGCGAAATTACTTGGTTTACATTGAAGGATTATAGCAGGAATACCACTAAGAAGCTGTAAGATTTTGTTATATTTTAATGTATTGCAATTCAAAAATAAAGCTATCCCTGTAACAGGCCGTGGAGGTCCATAGGGTTGTGAGACGTCGAGGATCCCACATTTTCTAGACAGTCGGCTCACAGATGGCGGTGAGGTTATCAGGCTTAAGTACCGGTAGCCTTTTATACCCCAAGAAGATTTCTGGTACTCATTTATGTTAGAGGCTGAGACTACCCCAGGGCCCTAGTGCGGACGGAAGAATTAGGCCAATCGAAAAATCCAATGACCTCATCGGGAATCGAACCCGCGATTTTCCGGCATGCAGCACGGTGCTTCAACCAACTACGCTACCGAGTGCCCCCCCTCGTATTTCAATTACAAAATTCGAAAAGCTCAACAGCTTACATACTTAATTCAACAATGATGATGAAGACGGCAGAATTCTGCCGAAATATGTTCGATGAAATTAATATTTTATTAAATAGAATAAATTATATAATGATTATTAAATGATTTTATTAAGTTGACATATGAATGAAAGACACAGTGATGACAATAACGTCTCTAAGAAGTTATACCACCTTGGCTTAGTTATGATGGCCTCGTTGGTAAAAACAGGTGTCACCATATGAAGGTTTCATTCATATTAACTTAAGAAATTCATTCAGGGACACGTCGAAACTCCAGTATTCCTACTTTGGGCGACTGGTAGAGTTGTAATTGGGTTGTGGTTGTGACTGTATTTGCATTGTATTCATTGTGTGTAGTGTGTCCTTTATTGTTTGTGTAGTTTTGTGCTGTGTTTTGTTTGAGTGTGGTGTATTATTTGTGTGTTGCATCTTATTGTAGTACCACTGCCACCGAGCAAAACCCCGTTTTCAGTTAAAATAAGTAAATAAGTAATAATATTTTTAGGGGACTCTAGGATCTGCGAGGACTTGGACGCGAGCTGACAGATAAAGTGTTGTATGCTATCTCTGTTTAGGTACTTGATTGCTTCGAATCTTCTCGTGCTTCGTACTAAGTCTATTTTAATCAAACCTGTGGATGCGACGTCTAAAATATTTGCATGTTATTAACATGAGATACCAGATAATATAACGATCACACCGAGTATAGGAGACCTTGTAAGGCCTTGTTTGGTAAGTCGTAACATCAGCACAAACTGAGCTGACAAGTTCCGAGGCAATTATTGGCTAAGCGACAGAAACGAGTACCATGAATCTTCCTTGGGGTTAAATGGCGGCCGGCGCGTAAGGCTGACAACCTCACTACTATCTGTGAGCCGATTGTCTAGAAAATGTGGGAGTCTCGACGTCTGACAACCCTATTGGCCTCCACAGCCTGCCACAGGGATAGCTTTATTCTACGCTACATACAACTTTTAAGGTACTGAGCGTCGTTAGACAAATCATAAGTAAAAGCTACTGTAATGGTACAACTATTACAGACACCAGTGACGAAGAGAGTAAAGCAGGAAGGGTGTTGGGAAGGGTCAGTCGATATAGTGACCGGATTATTGCCTGAACGACTGAGCAATCGACTCCCGGCAGGGGCAACAGATTTTCTCTTCTTCACTGCTTCCAGAATGAGTCGCGGTAGCTCAGTCGGTGTAGCAACGGGCTACGAGCTGGAAGACTGGGGTTCGAATCCCACCAGAGGTAAGATTTCTCTTCTCCACAACATCCAGGCCGGCCCTGGGCCACACCCAGCCTCCTATCCAATGGGTTCCGGCGGCTCTTTCCGCGGAGGTAAAGTGGCCGACCACTCACCTCCATCTGGTGTCGAGGTCAAGAATGGTGGAGCTATACGTCCACTCACCCATATGTCTTCATGGCATAGTGCTGAGGTCAGTAATGGTGGAGCTATACCTCCACTCATCCATGTGTCTTCATGGCACAGTGCTGAAATCAATAATGGTGGAGCTATACCTCCACTCACCCATATGTCTTCATGGCATAGTGCTTAATTAATTAAGCACAGAGATAACTGTGCACCTTTTTTCAACTTCACAACCTCCACCGACTCTGGGGCCCACCTATTTTTTTATTGCTAGTGGGGTGGGACTGTTGTAAGTCCCTTGTACTGTGGCCACTTCTGGCGTATTGTACCAGCCCCAGATGATAGATGAGGGTGATTGTGGAGCAATTGGTGGAATGAAGATTGGCAGGGGAAACCGAAGTACTGGGAGAAAACCTGCCCCAGCGACACTTTGTCCACCACAAATCCCACTTGACCAGACAGGGGATCGAACCTGGGCCGCCGCGGTGGGAAGCCAGCGACTAACCGCTTGAGCCATGGCGCGGCCAGGGGCCCACCTAACTTCCTGTCTAGTGGATACCGGTGGCTCTTTCCTCGGGGCACGAAGTCGACCCACCACTTCCAGTTAACGCCTTTATGGCCTAGTGCTTACTTAAGCACAGGGATAGCTTTACCATATGTGCGCTGCTCAGCGTCCAGGATCCACCACGATCCACCACACCAGAGGCGCGCCAAGGTGCCTTCTGAGGACGTTACCTCGACCGGTCAGACCGGTTACGCGTGCCGACATGTCACGGAGCGTGACCCCACTAACAAGAAGCTCTCTGGCAGGCAGGTAGCAACAAATAACTCCTCCTCTCCCTCCGTAAGGAACTGCAGTGAAATTTGATAAGGCAGATCTCCGTTTGGCCGTCAAATATTCAATCCTGCATGTAGCAATCCACACATGAAACACGTTGGTATGCCACACCCGAGGTGACGGGCGGGACCAGTTGCGAGATCCGGGAATGACGTCAGTGTGTTTTTAATGATCCTGCATCATCTGCAGAGGTCCTGTAAAACCGGTCGAGACATGTCTGTCTGTTGACGCCATTAACTAACTCCCTAGTGCTGAGTTCTTCAGAAGCGAATTGGTACTCAGTCACTCAAGAAGTTCCAGGCATATTATGGAACCCGAAGTTTCATTACACTTTCACAGTCGCGCGCCATTGGTCCCTACCTTGAGCCAGATTAATCCAGTCTATACCCGCCCATACTACGAGTATTTGTCTAAGATCAGTTTTAATATCATCTTCCCCATTGAGACCTAGGTATTCTTAACGGTCTCTTTCTTTCAGATTTTCGTATGAGAACTTTTTAAGCACTTTTCTTTCATGAGTACTACATGCCCTGCCTTCCTATTTTTCTTGCTTTGATCATTCTCTTATCTAGTGAGGAGTACAAATTATGAATCTCCGCACTATGTCCTTTTCTCCAACCTCCTGTTACTTCATCCTTCTCGAATTCATATATTATCCACCACATCCTGTTCTCAAACACCCTTACTTTCTGTTCTGTCCTTAATGTGGGCGAACAAGTTTCACGCTAGGTAAAGTTATAGGCTGTGTATTTTAATCTTTACGCTTGTCGTCAGCAGATCAAGACGAGCGATTCTGAACCGGCTGGCAGAAAATTCCGCCCAAAGAGTCTGTTTTTCATTTCCTCGTGAAATCTTTTTTTGTTTTTT